TAACATGTGCCTTGAGGTAATAGCATCAATTAATATATATAATCGCAAAAAGCAAAGTTTATATTCATCTTTATAAATAATAATAATAATAATAATAACTTTATTGATATCAACAGCTTGATATTAATCTTTTTTTATCTCATTGACCATTCCTATTCAGGAATCTTTAAACTTCGAAATTTAACAAATCATATTAATTATTTAATTAATTACGTGAAACGTAAAGCATATAAAATAATCAATTAAAACTTAAAATTTCTAAAGTAAAATTTTTTTCAGAGAATAAATAAAATGTTAATTCAATTATAAAGAAACTTGACTAAATGTAATTTCCTTCAAATTAAGCTTCAATTAATATAATATGAATTGTCAAACAAATTAAATCGTCGCTAATTACTAGAAGGATAAATTATTATTCTAGAATTGTTTTTATCACAAATTTCTCCTCCAAAATTTTAACGGTCATATCTCCAATGAAATTTTCGATTTTTGAACGCATTTACCCCCGAGGAGTAACTCAGAATCTCAAGGTCATCAAAGTTAAAGACCAAGAGGTAGAATCTCCTTTCTATGATGTCGCCCCGGCTCTCCAGGATCGCTTTTGCCTTCATTAAGAAAAAGACAAAAAGTCACCCTCACCTTTGTTGTCGCAGACGTCGCAAAGCACCATATCCGCCGGCAGTAACGAAGCGTGTGTATCCTACCGCGTGGTCGCATCCGCACTGAGATATTTTGTGACGTAGGGCGGCATTGCTACGGGTTGCAAGAGAGGGCGGAGGAAGCTGAGGTGGAGGTGGACGAAGAGCAGAAAGAAAACGAGGAGAGACCGTCGTTGAACGACCGGATACTATCGATCGATTGGACTGTAAAGTGTTAACGGTTTGACAGTCACGTTTACACTGGCGATGTAGCGCATCAGAACCGATGTATGGACGACCAACGGTCCCCAACATCGGGGTCGAGAAAAAGGGGGGATCATTCCGATGTGACCCATCATGGTGGGGATGCTCGGATCAATATTAGGGCGTAGACTCAAGGGCAAGGGCCGCTATAGAGCCTATATGGGGTGTCGGTCCTCTAACTCAGCGGATTTCTCAAGAAGTAAGAAGTCTAATTTTTCTTGAACGAGAGAATCGGCATTCGCGTCGGCTAAGTTTCGAGAAGAAATAAATAAATAAGGGGAGAACTTGTTTTCTTAAACCCCTTAAAGCTAAATTTTTTTCAGGAAGATTATACTTAAAATTTAATTTTCCATATGAAAAAATAGAAACTGAAAATTAAAATAAAGCAGACTTACAAAGATTGCTAAGAAAAGTTAATAATTATTAGACGATAAATTAAATATAAAGGGCATAATATTACACTGAAAAAAAGATTGAATATGTGTAGCATTTTTAATTGACTACTGCAACCAATTAAAAATACTATGCCATATTTTACTATCAAATTTCTACAACAGTCAATCTTTTCTTTTAGTATACATTTTATAATAATTGATTTAATAAACTAAAAATTTTCCTTGAAAGCATTGTCAAGAAAGATGTTTTAATTGTTCCAAATAACTATTATGTTAGCAAAAGCTTAATACGCTTTTTGCCTAATAAAATCTCTTATAAATTAAATAAAAGAGTTAATTTTCCATTCAAATCTAAATATTTATTATTAAGCTTCATTAAGTGTGTATGTGATCGATGCTTAATTATTAAAATGTTCTGAATATTACAAATTTATTTTAAATAGCTTGTTAAAATTTAGGTCAAGGGTTCTGGAGCACCCTGTATAAGAGAAACGCATGCGTGCGTGTGAAAAGGAATTCGGATATAATTGATCGCATGGCAATATCGATCGTGGTTGTCGTCGATGCTCCCTATTATGTCTAGAATTTATTATACATGACCTTTCCGCTACCTCTCTCACGATTGCCGAGATTGGTTCTATCACCTTCGCATGTGTGCCGTGACTGCGAGGTTTACACGAGATTAGCGATATTAGGTATGTCATAAAAATTATTGCATGGGCGTGTAAAGTGCCGCTTGTTCGTATCGCAGTATCGACTAATCTATGTTTGCGCCGATCGACACCAGAAAAACACTTTTTTACTAATAATACGAAAAGCAATCACGTTATACAAGATAATCGCTGACCTTTTGCATTTCTGAATAATTTAATCGCAATAGACTAAAGTCAAAAATTTATGACCCTCATTTGCCAGCTGATTAATTTAATCACGAGTAGATGCTGCCTAATTAATCTTTCTAAATTTTTAAATATTAATACTAACTTTACGTATCTGTGTGTGTGTGTGTGTGTATGTGTGAATTAAGAAATCAGTAATAAAAAGAAAAAACCAGATATAATAAATAGAACTCTCAAAGATGATTAATAAATAATCAATAAAATGGAGAGTCAATGCAATTATTTATTTGAAAATTTTAAGTAATTAAATTTATCTTGTAAAAGATAACTTAATTTTACACTGTAAAAAATAGAATGTTAATTTTAACTCAAAGGCGTTGAGTGGATTTTCTGAGACATGCAAAAATGTTAAAATTAACATTTTTGTGTTAATGTTAACATTTTTGCATGTCTCAGAAAATCCACTCAACGTCTCTGAGTTAAAATTAACATTCTGTTTAGTGTACTTATGATTTAAAAAGTTATTCGCACTTTCCGATATTTATGCAATCGAATTACCGGAATTACGATCCTTGCTTAAGGCAGACGATAAAAATGATTGCGTGTCATTAGACTATTAATTGCGCGCGTCGTGTTCTCTCCTCATTTTACATATGAAAACTTTCGCGGCGTGAGAATGCGAATTGCCGCGAGACGAGGGAGAAACTTGCCCCTCTTCTGACTTTCAGGACGAAAGCGCAGCATTACGCGAACGGCCAGGTATTCGAGCGTAGCAGCTAGCTGAACATGAGTGCATAGTTCAAGCGTAAACGCGGTATTTCACCGCGACGCGAAAGGATTAACCCTTTACAGCCACCGACGACCCGAGATCCTTTGATTCAAGAAATTTTTCTCGAAGCGGCTGCTTTACAAATCTTCTCTAAAGTGAGAAAAAGAGAGAGAACGTCGGCTTCACGTTGCATAAAGATTATGTATAGTCAGTGTAATGTGGCGATATCTATATTGCTAGAGCAACGCGAAATTCTCCGCGACGTTTTGAAGAAAAGGACATTTCATGCGTATAGTAAATATTTTTATAAGCAAGCTTTTTTTTTATATATGCTGCGCAACTGCGATTATTTTAATATTTAACGTAAAATATAATATTAACATTTCCTTTTAAAAATTCTATTTCAGCGAAGAAACGCTTTCTCTCTTTGTATTACTTCATTCTGCGTAAAATTAAATATTTGCAAAGAAAGCTGAGAGATCCAAGTCTTAATCTCTAATTCATTTTTAAGCTAAAATTCCTTTTGTCTTATTTTATTCTATACAAAATAGTCCGCATTTTTTCTTGATGTAAATTGCAGCCTGTTCTTATTCGAGAGAATTATGACGTGTATCAACATTCTTGAGTCATCGGGCGGGCACGTATACAAACAGAGATATATATGTAGTATCTACATGTAAAATGATAAGTCACAGATAAGAATGTTCAGCTAGGATAAAAGAGCTGTGCAAGGTATGAGGGGTACGCCTGCCGCTGAAATACCTTTTTACACATTGCACTCAACTAAAGGTGACGGCAATGCCATTCTGCTCTGAACACGCATTCATACACAGAGAACTAGAAAATTTCCTGGAAGCATTACCCGTGAGAACATACCGACACTTTTGGCATTTACCGAACTACAATTCGTATTTCAGATCGTAGGTGAAAAAAGCGACACTAATTTCTAATCTAATCTACTCAATGTCAGTCGATTTAAGGCAACGTTTAGTTTGTATATCTATTTAGAATTTATATAGTTTCAGCTTGTCTAATCAATTTCGTTACTTTAAAATATTTTATATACATATATAGTATTATATATAGCAAAATTATTATTAAAATAATTTTTTATCTCTCTCTCTCTCAATCCTGAATTTAAATTAATCTTATAAATTATGCCTTTTTCAGAATTGATTATTTTAAAAAGGATCGAAGATAAACAAAAGTAAAGTTATTTATGCGCAACGAGTGACTTATATATATATCGATTCATAAATCTGTGCTCGAAAGGCACAGGGTTTGATCTTATATTTCCATTTGCATAAGTATCAGCTCTTCAAAGTATTCTATAGGGGTATACAGTCGAGTGCTCGAAAAGATCGGAACCGTCATCAACATAGAACTTTCACTGCAGTACTAGAGAAAAGACATTCCGCACGTCTGTTTCTACGGTTAAATCCATATGTAGGGGACATATGTCATGGGAACATACACACACTCTGTATTCAAAACACACACTACCCTGACCTGCGGTAGTAAAGCGAATAAACGTGCGAGCGTGAGGGTGCGTCCAAAAATAAGGGTGCTTTAGTCCCCCGAGGGATCAATGGACCACGCCAGTTGTGCTGTAATTTTAAACACCTCGACAAACGTCACTAATTAAATCTCCTGGCTTATAAAACGCACCCCTTTCCTTCAAACATAAATGTCGAGCATTTAACGGCCTGCGGGTATTAAAACCGATAAAACCTGACAACTTCAACAACCATCCTTCAATACGAGATAAAAATAGAATTGAGGAAATGCGGGACGAGATCAATAAACTAGTAAACATTTCTTGCGATATCCTGTTTAATAAAGAGAGAAATTTGATAAAACGGTTTTCATATTTTAATTTATCGTGATTTGTTTCATATTTATTGTAACAAGCTAAATAAATCATGTTAAATTTAAAGAAATTAATTTACTATCGTCATTAATTTGTGTAATTTATTTCTAAATCTTAATATCATTATCTAACTGATACAAATAGTTCCTACATACGTTAGTCGTTGTCTTCCTCTCATTAGAATTTTTATCACGCGCAAGATGCACAAGATTAGTTCAAACTCACCCTTCCGCTGATCCTCGCTGTCGGAATGGAGCTCCACGTCATGCAGCCTCATGGATTGCACGAATCCTCGCCAGTGACTGCGCGATCGATCTCTCTCGCCGAGATCGTTCTTCAGGTTCGCCAGCTGCCTATCGGATTCCCTCAAGAGCCCGTCTAAAATATCCGGTCTTTCCAGATTAGAACTGGTCTTAGAATTCTTGTCGGCGCTTATTCTTCTGTTCGATGAGTTCTCTCCGCGATCGAGATTACGGACTCCTCGGTCGTCTGACTCGCTTCGTCTATTCGCGACGTAATCTGCGTCCCTCCAATCCTGATAATTCTTTGAGTTTCTTCTCCTACGAGCGGGAGGACGTGGCTGATCCTCCCAATTTGCGTCTTCCCTCTGCTTTTGCTTGTCTCTCAAGTCTTTCTCCGGAATCTCATAAAGGATCTTATCCAATGCTTTTCCATTTGTATTCTTACTCGATATCTTATTAGACACATTCTTCGGATTGTTATACCGATCCTTCAACGATTCCCGATTGTTTCTCGACGCCTCTAAAAGCTTCTGCGCCAGTAACCGAGTCCTGTTGATCTCCACTCCGGGCTTTCTTTCCTCTTTCTCGCTTCTGATCTTTTTGTCGTTGCTATTCTTAATCACTGTTCTGGATGAAGAATCCGCCGATTGAAACATCTGCTGGATCTTGAAGATATCCGATCGGATCTTGGCTGAGGTCGGTGCGTCGTTCCTTTTACTTGAGATCGCTACCATCAATTCTGTTTTCTGTGAAGGATTCCTGTGACTCCGCTGCGTTGGTGGAGTGTTCCTCAGCCTTTCCAAGTCTCTCAGATCCGCCAACAGAGAATTGTGAGTCCTCGATATCCTAACGTTGCCATCCTCGAGACCAGCAACAACGCTGCGTGGTCGGTTTTTCGAGTCTAGTTTGCCAATCTTGTCAATCGGTGTTAGCGATTGATCTAAGAAAACGGTTTCGCGAATCTGACTGATATTGCGCAGCTTGGGTGCGCCGATCTTTATACCGGTGGTCCTCATAATTACCTTCTCGACCGATTCAATATCCCGCTCACGTCCTAATCGCCTCTCCTCGATCAACCTCGCTCGATTGGCGTCGATTGACGTCGCGAGTGAGTTATGATAAATTGGGCTCTTGACGGATGTAATGGCTCGCGAATTTGAACTGGGATTAACAGATCTGCTGCTACGCAGAGGAGACACCCTCACCAGTTTCGGTGCATCCCTAGGATCGTCCGTCTGTAAACTGCCTCGGTATACCATTTTCTTCTCTTTCAATTTCTCAGTTTTTTTCCTTACCGAAAACAGCGAAGATCCCAAAAAATTGTTGTTTATCTGAAAATTTAAATTTTAATTGAGTACTGAAATTTAATTATAAAAGATGAGACGAAATAACTGTATAATAAGAACGATAATATAATATTATACATATAATATATATATAAAATTTTAAATTTTATATGTACGGTTATATTTATATATAATATATTTATCAAATTAAGTAATAATTAGAGGCTCAGAAGAATAAAT